TTTGTCTTGTTGAGAAATGACCAAGACTGTATTTTATGGATTCCTATGACTTTGACTTTTGGACTGACAAATTCCATTTTCTGGTAAGTACTAACTTTCCTTATTACTAATTGTCAAGTAATATGTCTATTCCATAGATTTGCATTTATTAAGATCCCAATTTCACTTTATATCAATTGAATGAATGACCATGAGAGAAAGATGTTATTTTTATGATTGGAATTATTGATTATAAAGATCAGTAATGTATTATATTATAAGTGTAAATTGTTATATTCAAGTTACACCATATATTTTTATGACCCAGATATTTGGTTACTTTGTTCAAAGTGAACAGATGATTTTATTTTAAAGGAATATATATTTTAATGTATACTGTATTAAATTACAGAGTCCATATACATGTTGTGTAAAAAGCTGTAAACATCACACATTCATGTGGTAGCCTTTTCCCACAGAATGGTGAGGAATTATTTGTTTTAATTAGTATTATTTTTTTATGCCTTTATATGGGAGAAAATATGTAATGATCCATATATTGACTTTAAGAGTTATCTCCCTTAATTGAGAGTAAATGTACATATATACCTATCATCTATAATATATATCATTATGAATATGTTACTATGAAAACTACATGTATAGATGATTGATGATTGATTTGATGTGCTATTATATTGTTGTTTTATTATATTTCAGGGCTATAACATTTGTATTACATAAAGTGCTTACTGTGTCGAATAAATAAGACCTGAACCCTGACAGAGGAGTACGTGTTGTTTCTTCATCACCACCCCCTGTTACAATGAATATGAAAACTAAAGAATATATGTTTTACATGATGTTAATCTTTCCTTTTAGGCACTGCTGCTAACATGATCCTGGTTAGCAACTGGATATTTTTGCTAACGACGGGTTTCTTTGTGGCCACAGCGTGTTATAATTGTTGCAGTTCTGAAAAGAAAACTCGTGATAATGCCTGTTTAGCTCTGATAGTGGCTTGCAAAATTACAGGTATATATATTTATATACTAATATATTCATATTATTGCTTTAATCGAATATCAAACCTGAAAAGATAATCTACAATAACATCGTGTAAAGGAATAAAAATTCGTGGGTAATTTTATGAATAAAACAGTGTTAAAAATAAAATGTAATTTGGATATCCTTCGCAATATTTGTATTTTTGTACATGCAAATTATTAACTGAAGGTTATTTAAGTTACATTCATTTTCGGATTCATAGGATATTCCTTAAGTGTTGTTCAGGTAATATCACTACAATTATGAATTTAGGTTAAGGAGATATTGATTGTCACAATACCGAAAAATAAGAGGGCTTGAGGGTCGCAGCCATTGAAAAGCGTTATCATCGCTACACTGAACAACAATTTTTACTTTTTGGCAGTCAGTTTTCCCTGATAATACTCCTTCCTTTCAAAATCTATCCCATAAAAGAGACTGGCATTATATATTTTTTTCATGGCAACTAAAAATGATAAAAAAACATTTCAAATTGATACGACTAGTAAGGTTTATTTACATTTTAATTTTGCTTCTCTTTTGTATTTGGCCAGCTGACTTAATAAAATGCAAACAAGTAATGAGCTGTATCATTTTATCAGTGAATCATATAATAAAACAATGATTGCTATTTTTTCTTTCAATACAATGATTTAGCCATCTTCGAAGTACAATATTTGGGCTCGGTGAATATTGTACTCCTCAGATAGCTAATCATTGTATTGACCTAAAAAAAAACAGCAATAATTGTATAATATCACACTACTGAAATATCAGTTTTAAATCAATGCTGAAAACGAAATAAAAACATAGTATTAATCAAAATAATATCCAAATAAAACATGTGTACAAATATTTCGAGATAAAGGTTAGGACAAGCTCAGAAATTACATTTTTTATCACGACTATACTTATTTATTTGGTTAAAACGAAAATGTTTCTTAAAGATTCTGTTAGAAAAGTCAAAAGTTTTTCAGATTTATATTTAGAGGACTTCAAACCACATGCTATTTTTGCTAAAACAGCAGATTTATTTTATCTCAAAGAATATAGTGTTTATTAAATCGGTTTAAATTTTGCGAGGCAAATCTGTGTCTGTTTCAAACCTTTCAAAAATTCTATAGCTAGTGTTCTGATCCGCCAGAGTTGAGATATAGGTTTTTTCTCATCAGATGAAAACCTCTTGAATGTTTGTTATGGTCATGGAGGAAGAGCAGCGTTTATCCCGTATTTTTCAATGTTTTATTGTTTTTAATTCACAATAGAAATGCAAAACTAATACGTAGTTGTAATTGACGTTTGACATGTTGATACATGATATACTGGTAATTATGATTAGTTTTGGATACTTTATTTTAAGAATTGTTTACTGTTTTCTGTCTTAAACCTTTTGCAATAATTTTATAGCTCTTCATGTTATGCTACAATTGTGCAAATGATGAAACACATAGAAAAAGGCAAACACAGAGAGAGCCAGAGAGAGAGCTATTATATAACCCAGAAGAAAACCAAGTTTAGCCTTGAACATGAATCCATCTCCATGTTCGGCATCAGTAATGGGTTTTAAAAACTGGCCACATATGTGAATATGGAACTATAAAATGAAGTTAACCAATTTAGTCGAAAATAATCCGTGAAACTTTAATGTGTATAATTGTATTTATAGTATTTGTAATAAAGAATATTCAGTTGTCTGTTGTTCGGTGTTTCCAGATCATTCGCATTTCAAAGAAGAATACGTCAGTGTTAATGCATTTTTAAATTTCATTTTAAACAACTTAATGAATTTCAAAATTCCAAAAATTAACTAGGTAATATATTTTTTTGATTATTTTATGAATGAGGTCATATACAATTGATAGACATTTGCTTATAGCATTCGGGTGGAAGATATCATGTTATTGCGTGGACCCTGGTGTTCACGCAGTAAATATATAAGCCAGGTTAATCCGGATGCCAGGGGCATGCGCGAGAATGCTAGAGAGTTCGCCCCCTTAGGCTACTTCTCCGTAGAATAATTCGCCTTATTCGAATTAATTCGAATAAGGAATAATATGCCATTCATTGACAGACCGCGCCTTTAAATACGTATATCGTATTTATATATTCATTGGCGGATCCGAATTTCTCTCTTACACATATACTTTTGGATACAAACTAAACATTGATTCTATAGCACAAGCATTTTAAAAAGTAGGAAGAACTTGCCAAATAGATAATGTAAGGGACCAGGCAACATTTATGACTATGATGGGACCAGTACAAAACAAATTTCTCATTTCAAAAAAGTACGTGTCCCATGACACTCATATTAAAAAGATATCTGTCCCATGCATTTAGACTCATAAAAAAGTTACTGTCCCGTGGTTACCCTGTGTAAATCTTGATAATAATTATTGCAACAAAACTGAGGATTTTTTCAGATTACAGATACTTTAAACATCGATATTGTTTTCTGTTCATTTTCATAATCCGTGTTAGTAATGCTTGTCACTCTGTAATATTTTCCATTGACTAAAGATTCATCATTGTTGTTTTAGACTTCGATTGAGTTTAAAGATATGATTTTTTTAAGAATTCTCTATTTTTGGAAAATATTTTTTTTTCAATTTAATGAGTATTTCTCTTAGGTAAAGTACTGTAAATCAATGCAAAAAATTGTATCCAATGGGTATTTAATGCTAAAGATGTTTTAAGCCCCATGTTTTCCTTCGATGAAAAAAATCATTGTCTAATGCCTTTTGTACTGGTTCCATCATTATGATAAATTTTGCCTGGTCCCCATCTTAACAACTTGAATAAAAAACGTCATTCAACGACTTGTTCTAGATAACTTTTAAAAGATAGAACAAGTTTTACTCGGCATTACTTTTGTTTATCAAGGCTCGCAAAAAAAATGTGATAATTCAGCAGGAGATGAAGGTATATTACTGCATAAGTAAGGGAAGTTGACGATAGAAAAGTTAAAGTCATGACGTTTATCATAGAGCTTGATTGTTAGATTACCATTAACGTCCTTCTCAAGTAAAATATCCAAACATGAAACAGATATGTCAGACTCTGTGAAATCTTTTATTTCAAGGATATATATCATCGATATAAGAAAGGAAATTATCTTTGAAAAATTCTCAAGAGAGACTTTAAACAACAAACAATGAATCAATCAATATCTTTTCTTTCAATTTCTACTTAAATTAAATGAAAAATGAAATTATACTATCTTTTAAAATCGATGGTTAAGAAGTTTTATCTTACCTTCTGCATATCAAATTCAAAAGAATTTATGATAGAAAAAGTAGATCGTCTTGAGATGATTAATTTATTAATTGACATTATAATTTGCAGCTGATAAAATGAATTCATTTTTTAATATTCATTATTTTTATATAGTTAACAGAAAAAAAAATAACCAGGAATAAGAATGTTGAATAAATTTATATAGTCGGTGTATAGAATAAGAATACTTTACTATGTTAACAACACAGACCTATATAAATGCCTTGTCTTGTTAAAGTCATCATTCACAAGTTCTGTGGTCGATACAATGACCTCGTCAGCAAATACTATTGACTGATCCCACTACCAGTTTTTTACAGGACTTGTTTGCTAGGCGTCTGATTTTAATGTTTTAATGGAATTTGGGCTTAATTTCCATTTTATTTTTTGTAACTATCTCTGTATTTTACCAAATGACATATTTCCGTGAGTTTTCTTGGAAATTTGATAGATGTATCGTGATTAAAAATTGATATTTAATTTAGCAAAGGCTTATATATTCTCTGTTAAAAATTGATTTGTAGCTATTTCGTTGATATCATACATAATCAATTAGGAGAGTAAAATGAAAAGGTAAAGCTATAGTTTTTACGTGCTTCAGTTTTACACTCTCTTTTTTTTTCTTTTTTTTTTATTCTTATTGTATTTGTATTCTTTTTCTACTGTTACTACATTCTAGTCATTGAAATTATTGTTTTCATAGTGTACTTGCCTTGTCACTGATCTTGGTGACTGCCGTGTTTGGGTCCATAAAGGAGACACCACAGCAAATCGTTACCAAGTACAACAACTACCGGACCATCTGTACTGGACTTGGTTATCAGAACCTAAACTGCAAAACAGGTAAGAAAGGTTTCGAATTTTATTCTTAAAAGAGCCACAAAGAGCAATTTTAAACATAAGTATTGGATATTCTTGTTTGATTTGTAATTGTGTTTAGAATTTATTTTACATGTGGGATACAATATGTTTGAAAACAAGAGTATTTTCTAGATAACATTTCCCAAGAATGAAATGAAACAATGATAATTTGACGCACTCTGGACATTTTTACAAAAAAAATGCTTCTTAAAAATATTTAATTTTTAAACTTGTTGCAATTCATAAATAAAAGTAATAACTGTTTAAAATCGGCTGTTTATAATAAAAGAACTTATTGACAATGAATTGTTTTTCAGGAAGCGGTAGCCATATATTTTTAATAAAAATTAATATTCTGATATATGAAACAAAATTCTACTTTAATTTACGAGTTACAAATGTTCTTATGGATCATTGGTTTCAGCTTTGATATTTTTCAGGAAAAGTTTCAGTTGCTTTCCACACGACACTAACCAATCACTTGCAGAACATGGGTAAACAACAGACAGTGATATTTGACAAGGTGACCTTGAATGAAGGAAATGGGTATGATAAAAAGACGGGTATTTTTACCGCCCCCGAGAAAGGTGTGTATACCTTCACCTGGACAATCATGACAAAAGCAGAAAAATATTTCGTCAGTGAAATTGTACACGAGAGTAAACGAATAGCTAAAAACTATGCAGATGGAAGAGGCATCACTGGTTATGATATGTCTTCAACACACGCCAACATTAAAATGAAGAAAGGTGATAAAGTATGGATCAGAACATACGATGGCTACGGCCAATACGCCTATGGCGAACATTGGAGTTATTTTTCTGGAAATAAATTATAAGTATAATGTATGCATTTGGGAAAAGTTTAAACACATCAGATGTATTCAGTAAATAAAAATGTCCAACAATGACGGAAATAATTTTATTGAATTTCTTATGGGAAGAAAGATATTATTATACGATCTCTTGAAATATAAACCTGAGGTGATCCAGCTTGATTTACAACATACATGTAGAAGGGTTTTGTTTCATTTCAAGTGATAACGTTTTGATCTGGAAACTGTCACTTTCTGATTGTAAAATACAAATTAAATCATTTTATATAATATACTGGACGCGTACATAATTTTTCGTATTCAAAATTTAGTGCAATCACTGGGTATGCAGTTGTAAGCGTAATCATAAATTAGCGCTACACTCTTCCGTTCAGTATATTGTATATGTAAATGATTTCTTATCGGTATTCATGCATTAGTGCATTACATATTGTTATCTGCGCCAAAGTCGCTAAAATATGAAGCCCGATTTTAAAGTACACATTCAGTGAGTTTTCCAACGTCTTCATGGGTCTTTTTTGTGCCTAGGGTGTATAAGGTTCAAAGTCTTTGAGGTTATTTCTTTAATCTAAATCACAGGATTATATAGTATTATATGTCTCGCTCTGGAAACGGTACAAAATCCATATACATGCATCAAACATACAAATAGGACACCTTTGATCTTAAATGAAATATTTTTTGGTGATTTGATGCTTTGCATCAATTTATACTTTTGAATTTTGGATAATTCTAAACGGGGTTACTTTTCAACGGGGGTCAATTTTGGTATAGGACTCACATATAAATTAAGAGTTAGGGTTAGGGTTTTTCTACAAAAAATGATTTTTTTTTCTACGGGTGGGGGTCATTTTCTGTCGTTGAAAAATGACCCCCCGGTCATTATTTGATGGGGGTCATTATTCATCCTTACTCTGGAACTAAATAGTGGTTTGTCTTCTTTGTCATTCGGTATTTCCTGTGACACAGTGGAACTAGGTTAACGAACAACTTGGCTCTGATAATCATTTTCACTTCTCATGCAGATCTACAGGTCGCCAGCAGATGTCGTACATATACCATAAAATTTCCATTTCGTGAGAGAAAACAGCTTCATAAATTTCCCATTTCTGACTATCCAAAGTGTCTTATCCGTGTTATTATTATACACCTAATCTCCATGGTCTGTAGGATATTCCTTAAATATATCCTGAAGGAATATCCACATTATCCGAAATTACACTCTTTCGATTTATTTGTATGATATATATATATTATAGATGTACATTTGCCTTCCACATCTCTCTAATATTAACACAGATAAACAAGTTCAGAATTCAACAAACAGCTGATAAAGATTCTAAGCAGTCTTGAAGTTTTAATGAGAAAACTTGATTTCTGGATCCCCATTTCATTTACATTTTGTTGCGCTTTGTAAAGATCTCCAGACTCCTCTGTGACGTGAACTTCACTGATGTGCTTTGGAGTGAAGGTAGGAAAAATAGTGTTTGTCAACTTTAACTGAGTATATATACATATATGGTATCTCTCTATTCTATAAAAATACAGAGAGCAAATATCTTAATATCTGTATGAAGTTTTTCACAGGTCATAGGTCATTACGTTACCTAATCATACGGATATAAAATCTACATAAACTGATTTGCTCTAGATCTACTTAGCAACGTGCATGCTTTTCATGTAAAAAAAATGTACAAAATATTCAATTAAAAAAATAACAGTTTTATTTACAACACAAACAAGTTTCTAATACTGTTTTTTTTTTTTGGCTATCGATTTAGCCTATGTTCGTATAGATAATAGAAAACTTCATGTCAGCTGCACAGTCTCTACGTTTAGCATTATTTTTTTTTTCTCGATTCGATACGCAAGAGCATGCCTTACGTAAGTGAAATTACTAAAACGAGGTTAATTATTGACAATCAAGTTGATGAAGTCATCTTTTCGTAAGTTCTAATGTCGTTACAATGACCTTGTCAGCAAATACAATTTATCATTGAGTTAATTATGACTGACGTTTTTCATACTTATTGTTAGTCCATTATTTACACACTGAATTGTCGACGGAATTTTCCGTTATTACCCAATCATGCCAAGGAGCGCACGGCGGGTGTGACCGGTCGGCAGGGGATACTCACTCCTCCTTGGCACCTGATCCCACCTCTGATGTTTAAAAGGTTTACTCTACTCCTATTTTGTATTGTTTGATGGACTTTGAGCTAGAATACTGTTCGTTATCTACATATATTTCCTAACAATGACAAAAAATTAATATAATATTGATTAAATTTACATGTTAAAAAGAGTATTAGAGGTTTCATTTTTCAATATTGTCCTGATCGAGTTAACTGTGCATTTCTTTAAAGAAAGTCTTTTAGTTTTTGCTAGATTTAAAATCACCGGCATTATAAACGTAGATCGAAGATTGGGTTGTATATGCATGGAAGTTCTACATAATTTTCGAACCAAATCCAGAAATCGGGAGATTTTCGGGTTGTTCGGAAAAAAATCGGGTGAAAATTTATAAAAAATAATCGGGTAAAGTTTCGAAAAATCGGGTGTAACCCGACGAAATCGGACGAGTTTGCAACTATGTCAGCATGGAATATCGATTTTCAAGAAAAAAAAATTCCCAGACATCAATCATTTCATTATTACTGGTATCAAGTAGCCTTTCACAAAACATTCCCTTCAAAACATAATCCTTTGACTAATGAATTCGAAGCGTCACCGCCCTTCAAACCAAATTGCATCATCTCGGGTCTTTCCGTCAGAGGTCGGAAAAACAACCTCGAATGTATTAAGATCACCGGATGTTAAAAATTTATACATTTACTGTTTATTCAATATATAGGATATACGGAGTTAGAAGTCCTTTCTGTAGTATGTTTTAGGTAATATCATTACATTGAATAAAGTAAAACTCCATATTCCATAGATAAAAGGTCCCCATGCATTTATTTCAAAGATAGTGAAAAAGGAGGGTTGTCATGGCGGCTTCTATATATACTTGTCAAAATTTCTAAGTCCCCACTTTTATTTTTTCAAAAAGTCCAAAACCTTAACATCAATTTACTATTTGCTTACAATTCTGCCTTTAATTTGCAATACTTACCTGTTAAGGCCAAAAAAATTGTAATTGAATGTTTAATTACTCGACCGTGACCGTTTTTGTTAAAAAGCATGAAGTTCGAGTTCCATATGTTTTTCGGGTGTATTCTTCATATTTTTTACTTCCATGTGTTCTCCATCTTTAATTGATAAAGAAAACAGAAAAAAGTTTGATCAAAATGTGGTGTGTCCACACAAAAATGTGAAAGTGAAGTTGAAATGGCCCAAGCTGGTCGTAGTTGACGAGAGTTCAGTTTCCTTTCACTGTATGACTTTATTTTACTTAAAAACCTTTATAATTACTGCCCAAAAATTCTACAAAGCATACATGAATTCCTTATAATCATTAGAAATCGCTAGATTTTCAACAAACACAACAAAATCATCCTAGAGTTTATTCGGAAAAATCAATGGAAATGGAACCGGAAGTGTCCTCCCCTCAATGTCAAACAAGAGGAGTGGGGTACACATGTAATAAGACATTATTTAACTATTGTAAGCATGGCACAGGCACTTTCGGTAAGCCCCCTTGTCATCCTAATCTCAAACCTAACTTACATGTATGGAAGAAGATAAACCGGAGTTTGAGACAGCTTTTCCAGCAGCAGAATCTAGGGGAACTAGAGGACGACCTAGTCTCCAAATGGAAAAACATTCAATAAAAAGAATTTTTCTTAAATAGTGTAAACTCTTTCAGGAACGGTTGTCTTGCTGTGAATTAGTTTGAATGGAGGATACACTGTATTGCAGTATCTAACGTTGTGAATTTTTAATTCTAGGGTGCCTTAACATTTCTGCATATTGTGATAAAGTGCTTCAATAAAATAAATTAAGTGAGAAAAAATTGTATCGCTACTTTTTTTTATCCCGTATACTTATAAAATTATACTGTTAAAATAATTCAATATTAGATCTGTGTAAAACAAAAACTTGCCTGGGGACTTAGAAATTTTGACTAGTATATTTTCGAGGTCGTTTTTCCGCTAGTAGGAAAGACCCGAGAAGTTGCGATTGCGATTAACGGTACACTTTTTTGTCAAAATCTACGACGAACAGTTCGTGCAATTTTTAGATTCGACTATATTCAATTCGATTGTCCGTCTCAAATGTAAATTTGATAATAAATAACAAGTTTAAAAACATCAGTGGTAATTGAAGTGGGTCGGTACGTGATCAAATCTTCTGAGAAGGTCTTCGGCCTTTACAGGATTTGATTTGACTTATTATTTATTTCTTTAAAATCCTTTAAGTCTGGATCAACACAATTTACATGTAAAATATTCCTACGTCTGGAAATTTCAGTTTAAGAGTCTTTTAAAAGCTTCGAGATTTCTGTCAAATTCTGGTTGATCGTCTTTATATGGTTATATATCATTATGTGAAGGCTTTCACATTTTTCTTTGCGATCATTTGCAGAATTTTGTAGAATTTCTTTTCCTTTCCTGAGTAGTGATTATAAAAGGTTCAAATTAAATAGAAAAATAATAATATGCATCTTTAACGAAACCTTATTTACATTCTAAGGTTTAGAAAAATTACACTTTTATACACTTTACTTAATTTCTCTACAAAGAAAAATATCATTGTATTTCACATCCTAATCACAGTATCGCATGATTGTTCTTTGAAATTTGATACTTATGCCGTGATAAATTATAGTTATTTATATTCTGTATATATTTAAATATCCTTCATTATACACTTTTCATATATTTCATTTTGTGACATACACAAAAGTTATTTTACGAAACGGAGAACATGAAAAGGTACATATGCTTTTTTCTATATTCTTAATTCTTCTATGCTTTCTTATATGTCATACATGTATATATATAATGATTCTAATTTGGTTTCCTCAGTGTACATGTACTGCTGCTGATCTTGGTCACTGCCGTGTTTGGTTCCATTAAGGAGACACCACAGCAGATCGTTACCAAGTACAAAAACTACCGGACCATCTGCACTGGACTTGGATATCAGAACCTAAGCTGCAAAGCAGACATCAAAGGTTTGGAATGTTTTCTACAAGTTTTTGGTCGATTTATAAAAAATTAGCAATTTGAATGCGTTCCTTATTTTGTTATCAAATTTATTTTTGAGAAAGAATATAAAATATGTAAAAGTTATAAAATATGACTTGAGGATGAAGGGATTTAATATTGATTATTTCTTATTTTAAAGGGAAAAGATCAATTGCTTTCCAGTCGTCACTAACAAATAAGTTGGAGAATATGGGAAATCAACAAACTGTGATATTTGACAGGGTGACCTTGAATGAAGGAAATGGTTATGATAAGAAGACAGGTATTTTTACCGCCCCTGAGGAAGGTGTCTATACGTTTAGTTGGGCAATGATGTCAAAGAGAGATAAATATTTTATCAGTGAGATAGTACACGACGGAAACCTCATTGCTTATAACCACTCTGATGGAAGGGGTCTCACTGGCTATGTTACGTCATCAAATACTTCCAATATCAAAATGAAGAAAGGAGAAAAAGTATGGATTAGGGCACATGGAAGCTATGGCCAATTTGCTAATGGTGGATATTGGTGTAATTTTTCTGGAAATAAGCTATGATTTTCAAGTATTTATTAAAACGAAAATTGAAAACATTTATTTGTTTTGCTTTCTATTGGATGGATTCAATGACGTCCTTATACGAAAACCAGGACATTTGCCCATAAATATTTTTTTTATAGAAGCAGATTGCTCACTTTCGAAAAATTCATTAATTTTTCACCATCAATGGCTATTAGATGTCACGTTATCAGTAATAACATTATTATCAAGTTTAAAATTTCACTTTCAGTCATAAAACTTGTTAGCTAATCTTGAACATTATGGTGTGGTGGTATGACCATATCACATTCTGAGATATTAATTTAATATAATATTTTGATTTAACTAATTATTAACTGCTTCTTTTTCCTATATTTATTTTGTAATGAAAAAAAGTTGTAACCATGATATGCATTAAAATCAATGCTGTCTGGACAAGGTTCGAGACTGAATACAAGCATTAAAAAGTTGAACATAAAAATTCGCATTTCAAAAAGAAAAAATTATCCAAACTGGAATAAAAATTTCAATTTTTACGGCTAAATATATATTTATTTGCGTGCTGTTCATTTGAGCTGTCCATTTATCAGTTCGAATGATGTCATGTCATCCATTTGTATACTGTGTAATCACTAGTTTTCGTGGTTTACAGTTTATTACGAGACCCCCGTATTTATGCCCACCACAATATGTAATTTTTCACATGTATTACTACTGATAATTTCTTCATCCACGAAATTAAATCCCCACGAACCCATATTTTTTTTCCTAAAATCACGAAATGTTGATCCCACTAAAATAAGCGATTTTACAGTCTAGTACTTTTTTTATACATAAACATGAATGTCATAATGTGCAGTTTTCTTAATGTTCTGTCAAAATCGTAAAACCTGGGATGTTTGATTACAAGCTGGGTAGCAGCTTCTAATGATAAAACGCCGCATAATGATATAAATATCGTTAAGCGTTGCAATGCCATAAATTATTGCATTAATAGCTGACATTATCAACCGCTAATGCTAAATCGCCGCTAATTGCTAGAATTATATCATTAAGCGTCACAAATGCAGTTCAACACTGACGCTTAATGAAACAATCAAATATCGACATATTCGACGCTTAATGATACACACTAGTGTATCATTAAGCGTTGCAGTTGCAAACTTTTATGATATAAAATTTAGAAACAAATTGCAATATCTAAGAGAGACACACATCCACATTTCCTGAACAATGAGATTTCACTTGCCAAAACATTTATATATGGCCCTGTGCTATATAAATGGTAATTATTGAAGTTTTACTATTTTTTCTAGCTAGCCAAGGGAACTTCTTTAAGCTCCGGATGTTTAAAAGACAGACAGTCAGACAGCTTACAGAAAGAAGATACAAAGAGATAAATAAAGACAAATCCAAATCTTTTTAAAAGAACACATTTTTTCTGAAAATATAGAAACAAACAAATTCCTTGAAATTTGAATAAAATGATTCTGAATAGTCAGCCTATATATATACTTTGGGGGCATTTTAACAGGTACAGGATCATTTAATTAGATACTAGTGTTTTAATTATAAATGTGGTAAACTTAGACCTTAATTTCCTGCATCAGATGAAGTTTCAACCTTTATAATCGAGTTGTTACAATACTAATAAATTTCTTCTTTAAGGTACTCCGATCCTCCGGCTTTGAGAATCAGGCATTGACTAATTGAAAGTGCTCATAAAAATGTCCCTGAATTCTTAAAGTTTTTACCCACGATAATTCTTCAAACTTCATCTTTAAAGTTTATCATAATTATTAAGGAAAATTAGTAAATCTCAAATAAATTTTCAAGAAATGCGAATAAAACACCAAATATGCATTTTCCAATTCAAATTTAGTCATCAGTAGTATGAGCGGTCTAGATGGCTGGGTCAACTGAGTGCACTTTTTATGCAAATGAGGTCAAAAATGCTGGATTCTGATTGGCTAAGCCGCTGGCTGGGTCAAGGCAGTGCAGACTGGGGGTCTGTGGGGGATAGCCGGGTCAATGCAGTGCAGATTCGGGGTCGGGGGGGATAGCCGGGTCAAGAGAGTGCAGATTGGGGGTCTGTGGGGATAGCCGGGTCAACTCAGTACAGCCCTAACCCTAACCCCTAACCCTAACCCTAGGGGCTAGGTGGGTCAACTCAGTACAATCCTTGGGGGATAAGTGGTTCAATTCATTACATAGCCCCCTAAATACGGGGTGTTTACACTGTGTTTACATTATACTATACGCTGCTACTACGATTTTGTCAGCGACTCAAGAATTTGATTATGACGTCACGCTTTCATTCACAGTCTAGCCAGCCTAGCCTAACCAGTTCAAACTGGATTTTTTACTGAAAACAATAACAACCTGGATTTTTTTTACTGAAAACAATAACAAATAACACACACAAGACAGGTTATAACAAGAATCAATACGTTTTACCTGCGTTTTATACCTGTTGCATCATCTGTAAGGACCGTGTGCAAAAAATTAGGGTCGTGTGCAAAAATAGGTTGGACTTATCTTTCTGTAAACTATCTAGTCAGCGAGCTTACCTATGCATTGTGACGTCATAAACTTGGCAGCGACGTCATGTTAGTCCTTCACAAGCCGCGATGGCTGCTTATTTTGACACAATAACACAGACTTTCACAGCGCTTGAGACTTCATGTAATAACAGTATGGTCCTATGGATTTCAGTACCAAAACTGATTTTCTACCGTTTTTCTTCCAAGAAAGTTCTGAACAGCTGAATCCTGGATCAGCCTAGATGTTATTTCACTGGATTATTTAATGAATATTACTCTACTGAGTTACCTGGTTACATGGTAAGTTTTAACAAACTTTTCTTTATACAT